GAGACCCAGCACTTTTGAGACCTGCAGCTACAGCGTTCCCATCAGTGACCTGAAAACATGCTCTGGAAGGGCCTGTTCTAGTTGGCACCCCGAAGCTCCTGGAGACTGTTGAGCTGTTATACTTTCTGGAGCTGAATCCTCAGATCAATGGACTTTCAGCTTGTATCCCAATGCTACCCAGAGTTCAATAATTTCATTTAAATCCCACATGAGAATCTGTGACAATCTGTTTTAAGTTGTTTTGTTCTGTTTAAACATTATTAATATTGAATTGACAATAAAGTGCTTCCTGATACTATTCTTTGCTGTCTGCCCATAGCATTCTTAAAGTTGGGTGGGACAAGAACCCACTGTAAACAGAAGACAAACTCCCGTGTCTTTCACTATGAAGTTAATCACCCAATCCAGCAGGAGAGTGGAAATGGAATCATACCAGCAATGGCACAGCCAGTGTGAGCTGAAGAGGGCAGAGATGGGTCAATTGAAAGAGTAGGAGATGTCTCAGGTTCTGGAGGCCAGAATCACAGTGCCAATGGGCTATAAATGCATGTTGTTTTTACAGGAAAAGGGAAGGTGGTATGAAAAGCAATTCTGAGATCTCACAGTGCTTCATGAGCTTCAAAGGTTAGGTACATTGTCTCTGTCTCAATAGGGTAGGTAGCCCCCAGTCAGAGCTTATAGAGCCATGGGGTTGGGAAGCAACCCTGTGGAGCTTTGGAGGCAGGACTCACAGACACTCCAGGAGGCCCAAACGTGAGGCATCATCATACTAAAGAGGATTGTTTTCAGGCTTTATGACTTCATAGATCTGGACAGGTGAGATGGCTCAGTAGGTAAAAGAGGTTGTCACTATGCCTAACAACTGGAGCTCAATCCTTGGAACCCACAAGGTAGAAGGAGAAAAACAACTCTCAAAAGTTTCTGATCTCTACATGCATACTGTTGCATAGTCTCTCTCTCTCTCATATAAATTATGAATAAATAATGTAAAAGATTTAACAAATCAAATGAACTTGTCTTTTTACTTGGTTGGCGCCTATCACTCCCTTCTTTCTTATAGATTCATTTAGGAATGGGAACATTAATTCTACATCTGTACTCTGTACCTTGGTAATATGTAGCTTCTCCTTTTGCACATGTCCATTGCTGGAGATCAGTGTTGCCTAGAGATGAATCAAACATCTATTCTTGGCTTATAATATTAACATGATATTTAGATGAGATTTAGACTTTGGCATTGGTGCTTGACTGAGTTAAGACCTTTGGTGCTCTTGGGATATAATGGATATAGTTCTTACAGGTGATGAGGATGTGAATTGGAGGAGGCCAAGGAAAGATCACTATGTACTGAACTGTATTTGGAACTGTACTTGCTTATAAGAAAGTAATTAAAATTAAAGATGACATCATGAGGATGAGTCTTACAAGAGGTGATGTTTGAGTTTTCTCTCTCTACTTTCCTCTCTCCATTTTCAGTAAGAAGGCATCATCAAGAGAAGAGAACTCTTACTAGAACCTGAATTACCTAGCACCTTTGCCTTGAAGTTCCCAGTCTCGTAAACTGTGAGACTAAATACGTGCTGTTTAAGTCCTTTAAATTAACCCAAGTTGATTAGGACATTCTCATTAGTCACCTTCTGGCTCCCTTAATAGGGATGAGATCCTCACCTTCTGTGGTCCTTTGTCATTCTGTAATTTATCAATCTTCTTGGCATATATTATAATCAAACTCACAATAGAAGTATTTTAAATGCATCATGTTTATTTTCTGTGTTCCCTGGTTAGAATATAAGCACTGGAGGGCAGGAATTTTTTTTTCTGTTTTATTCATTGCTGTGTTTCCAACATCTAGACAAAAATGCTTTATATTCTTGATTTTTGAGCAGTAACTATTACAATTGAATTCGGCCTCAGAACTCAGGAACAGCAAGTAAGAACATGTAACAAAGAGCATAGGCAGAAGAAAATGGCGCACATCAAATGAGTTAGAAGAGAAAGAATGTAAGAGAAAGACGATTGGGTGATTGTCGTTTTCTAATGAAAAATGCCCCTATCAGCAGTGTAAGTAAATCAAGGTAGAGTGACTTACAAGCCTATGCTGAAATTTTGTAGGAACAAATTACTTAAAACTAATGAACATTTCCAAGAATTTTCAATACCTAATATTTTACAGCCAGCCTAAGAAAGTAATATATATTATTTGCTTCACAGGAGAGTAAATACTCTGAAATAATGGACACAAATCCACTTAAGCATTAGAGTTATCATATTTCAATTTATTTCCATGTAAATTGGTGGTTACATGCCAAGCTAGTACAAAGAATTATAAAAAAGATAATTAAGTTATTGAAAAATATAAAAAAATAAGTGCAGCACATTTGACTACATGATTTTTAACTACAAATCTTTGGACTGTGAAAGCACCACTTAACTCCCTATTGAAATCTGGCAATAAACTTGCTGCCGAAAACCATATTCTATACTGGATTAGATCATCATCCCACAGAACACAGAATGTGCATTTCAAGGCATATGTATGTTCAGCAACATTTTGGTAACCACTAAATGTCAAGCATCATTCATACGGGATATTAAGACATTAATATTTTCAGTAAAAAAGAAAGATCTCTTTCTTCATTATGTTGCACAGTAATAGAATAGAGATCTGTCAAATAAATTACTGCAAAGTAGTTTAAACTAAACTTTAAAACACTGAAATTATATAATTGAGGGCAAATAACCTTTAAAGTGAAAGACAAATGGTAAAATTTAAGGGCATTTAATTTGCATAAGTATAATGCTAATAGTCTTTTTCCTGGTTACATATTTTAAATGTGTCACTATATTAGGTGCTTACACTTGTATAGGTCAGTTTTAATTTTTTTGATGTTACTTTACTATGATAAGTAATACTAAGGAGTTTATATATATCATATACAGAAACAAGAGTAAGTGAGTGTGCATGTAGAAGCACTCCAGCACTGGAGCCTTGTTATAACTGCTTTGTTGCCAACTTCTGCTTTAAAATTAACACTCGTGTTCTTGAAAATTGTGTGTCTAAAACTTGCAGTTAGTTCATGGAATCTCAGACTTAATACAGGATACTTTTTTGTGTAAACAGTTATCATTGGCTTGGGAAAAACAATAGGACAATGGATTTAATACAGTACATGGTTTGGTCTTGTCTTTGAATATAACATTAATATCTGACACTAAAGTGAGTGGCTTTAACTTTTATATGTTAAACTCCTACTATAAATATTTAAATGCATTCAAATACAAGTTCAGACAATACTTTACCCTCATTAGCAATAAAATAGAGCAAACCATCCTTCTACTAGCTTTACTTATTGTAATATCAGCCATGCTCCATAATCTCCAACAAATTAGGAAATGCCTACAACGCATGAGTTCAATTATAGGCCAAACTTGCACAGCAAACTCTCAATTTATCTCTCTCTGTCTCTGTCTCTGTCTCTCTGTCTCTGTCTCTGTCTCTGTCTCTCTCTCCAAAATATATCTGATTTCTTGACTCTCCTTGCCTTATGTTTATATACTAGTGACCAATGGATTGGGGCTGGTGAATATTACCACAATGTGCCTTTAGAATAATGCAATTGGCTAGTGGAGAATAAATTTCTTTTCTCTAAGGAAACTACTAATCCTTATCTCTACCTTTCCCTGGGACAATACTCGATAAACAATATTAGTTGTCTTGTACTTTCAATTCAAGTTAGAGATGAAGGGGATTTTTGGGACCAAGACTATTTTTAGTTTGTTTCAGTAAAAATTAAAACGACTATGTTCTGAGAATTTAGAGCACTTATTGTTGGTATTTCTTTTTTATTATTTCATCCTACCAGGACCAAGCATTAAAATAAATGATCACAAGAATGTTTATCACATGTTACTAAGGAATATTTCAATCTGTCACCTTGGAAGGAATTGAGATATATTCTTACAGATGCCCATAAACACTACTAAATGCACAGTTTTTAAATTTTATTTTAAAATTTTATTTTATCTTGCTTCTCAAATCCCTGCTAAAGTAGCTGGCTTTATCTGATAATGTTAGATTCTATAACAATTGACATGTCATTAAGACTAAAGCATACTTGTGGGTCTGTGCCTTCTTATATAAGACAATCTGTAAAATGAACATATGCATTGTGTACTTGTATGCAATTAGAAATACATAAACAAGCATGAGAACAATGACTCTTGTAGAACTCCACCTGGCCATTACTGTTGCTAATTATCCTTTGGTTTGGTGTTTGGTGGCTTTACAGATTACCACATCCAAGCTCTCTTCTAACAAAAGGAATAGAAAACAATGTACCATGGAGAGCTATCTATTTTAGAATAGATAGTAACAGTGCATTTTATTGACCGCTATCTCTGAAAAAGAAAATTCACCATTACTACAGCTAATCTTGCACTAAAATAGTACAAAGCTATTCTACTCATCATCAAAAAATCATATTTTTGAAAAAAAAAGTTGTAAAATCCTCGTATTCTGTGATTCCAATAAAAAATAAATCTGAAAACAGAACGTCTTCTGGGTGGCAATATGGAAATTCAAGCTATCTGGTTGAATATCCTATCCATTTTCAGTGGTAACAATCACTAATGTCAGGAACCTGGCTTTATTGAGAGACTATTTTTTCACCAAATATGAAAGAATGCTTGAGTACTTCTGGAATGATCCTGTTGAGGGGTAGAAATACCAATAACTTCTAGTTTGTCTTTTTTTAATTATTGCTTTATTTTTGTGAATTTCAAATTCTATTATATAAAGTGATCCTTAGTCTTATTGATGTGTAACTAGCTTTGTGGAAAAAAGCTATGGGAAAATGGCCCATTTGCTAACTTGCTTTTTGTATGTTATGTGATCTACATTTTTACAAATGGCTTATATTTCAAACCACTTCTGATGAAAGTGTTTCTCCATTTATGCTAGCTTACAGTAAAATAGAAATAAGACACTAAAAATACTGTCATAAAAGGAAATAAAATTATGTTTACTCTTCAGTACATGAAAGTTAAATGCATACTGATTGCTATATGAAATAACTAAATTAATCTGCTTATTAAGAAAGATTAGAAAAATAAGGTGTCAGCAAATCTTGACCTGTGGCTATGCAGTTGCTAACTCACGTCATTCTTATTGTAGTAGAGGTCAAAGGCAGGACTTATACACAAAAATTGGTGAAAAATGCCAGTATCCAGCCTGCTCATGGCCGTTGCTAAAGACAAGATGTACAGTTCATCAAGTGGGTCTCAGACTTCTGTATGGGCACTGACTTTGCTTGAATTCTGAAATAAAGAGAAAGAAATAAGTGCATGCTATTTACACAGTTCTTACTTAAATCAGTGGCATAGTAAAGGAATGGTAGCAGGAGACGCCTGCTGTCCAGTCATGCTATGAAAATGGGCGTCCTATGAGGTCTGAGAGCCCAGCAGGGAAGCTCCAAAGCCAGGATCCTATAGTTAACTTTGAATCCAGCTCAAACACCATAACTTCCTCCAGCTTTGGTTTTCCCATTTCTAAAACGTGGTAATTTAGTGTACCTTCCACATCTGGAGTGGTAAAAGGAGTTAATTAATAGAAGTAAAGGCTTTAGGTACTCACTACATGTTAGGTATATAATAATAATGATAACACTATCATTTAGAAACTACATGCAGTTCTTAGTGATATGATAGGAAGACTGTGGGATGCATTAATGCTATCCTAGGGATGAGGAAGGCAAAATGAATTGCAGGAAATTACATGTAACTTTGGGAATCTTAAAAATAAAACAAAACACAGTATTTGGACTTCAATTTTCATACTTCTTCTTGTCATATGACCATTGGACTCTGAAAATGTTTCAAAAGATGGAAATCAAAATAAACATACTGACAAGGTCATCTAGGGAGAAAACACTAAAATCTATATTTAATATTTCTGCATTTGAGAGGGCCGAGTTCAAATTAGGACAGTGTTGAATGTTATTAAAAGCAAAGAATTTGTACTTGATAGGTGATCACCAAATCCTCTGACCCATGACATCATTAGAAGATCCAAATTATTAAGAAATTGTTCATAACTGGCTCACCAAAATGAGTAGAACAATTCCTTTACTTAAAGCAAGTGTGTCAGATGGAGAGGGAACGGACAATCATGTATTTTAGACACCAGTGGGGAGGGGAACTATTATAAAATTCCCAAAGCCCATGATCATGTAATCTAGTTTTTCTTAGAACTCCTGCGTGCTAAGTTAATCAACTTACCTTATTTGAGTGAATGTGACTTATTGCAGCAGATACAGAGTCAAAAAAAATTGGTTTCTCAGAGTCTAGGTCTCCATAGTACTTCATTGCTCTTATCAAAGATGCTGCAAGAAGCAAGGGTCATATAAAGACTCATGGGGCAACAGAGGGATCTCACTTCATGCTAGCCAAGGATGTGCTCTCACCTGGGCATTTGGCTAAGGACACATCAATGTTCCTGCTCTTACAGTCGAAGTAAACCTGGAGGAAGTGAAAGAGCACAACAGTAAGTTCAGAATAGCTGACTGGAAGGAATAAATCAGGTTTTAGAAGAAAGGAAGATTTCTAGGGAGAACAAAACAATAAAAACCACATTTCTGGAGTCAAACCACCAGAGGGAGGCATTGTTACACAATTGTTCATACCAGAAATCATCTAAAAGACTAAGATTTATAGAGTGAAGCATTTACCTCTCATATTACCTTTCATTTAATAAAAATGAAAACATCACAATTTCTTCCCTTTAAGAGTGATATAAAGTTGCTTTCTACATCTTTTATTGGAAATCAAAGACCTATTTTGTTTTGTTTTGTTTTTCGGTCTTTTTGAGACAGGGTCTCCCTGTAGCTCCAGCTGGTCTGGAACTCACTATGTAGACTAGGCTGGCCTTGAACTCACAGAGCTCCACCTGCCTCTGCCTTCCGAGTGCTGGGATTAAAGGTGTGCGCCACCACACCCGGCCTAAAGACCTATTTTGGAAGTAATGAAGGCTGCTGGTCTGTTAACTTTAATATTTTGTGATAATTTAACATACATCATGATACAACACATTCCATCAATGGGAAGCAAATTGAGAAGTACATTGTGACCTGAACCAGTTTTCTTGCCTAATTTCCAGTTTTAAAAGTACACCAAGATGTGAGAGTCTAACTAATGTTTTGGGCATACTCCAGCCTTGATTCCTAACTCCCAGACAATCTCAAGCAGAAATAATTTCTGAAAGACTCTGATTTTAAACTCACCTAAACCAAATTTCATGGTCTGAAAAGTAAATGAAGACGTTTCATTTACACTTGGATGGATTTGGATATATAATAGTGATGTATCTCCCCTCCCTTTATTTTTTTAAAAAATTATATGTGTATGAGTGTTATGTCTGCATGTATGTAAGTACACCATAGTGTATGAGTGTTATGTCTGCATGTATGTAAGTACACCATATCATGCAGTGCTTAGAGAGGACAGAAGAGGGTCTTGGATCCCCTGGAACTGGAGTTATGGATGGTTGTTAGCCGCCATGTGGGTGCTGGTATTTGAACCTGGGTCTTCCATAAGAGCAGCCAATGCTCTTAATTACTGAGTCATACTCCAGCCCAGTACTGATGTATCTTATACATAAGGCATATAGAGCTGCATTTACAATACATTCTAACTATGGGCAATGCACCATAATTTCCTTCATACTTCTCCATCACTGTGTTGCTCTAAGTAAGAATTGTGAAATATGGGCTGGAGAGATGGCTCAGCAGTTAAGAACACTGAATGTTCTTGAAGAAGATACGGGTTCAAATCCCAGCACCCACATGGCAGCTAACAACTGTCTATAATTCCAGTTGTAGGGGATCCAACAGCCTCTTCTCTCCTCTGAGGGCATTGCATGACACAGGTGCACTTGTCTACATGCAGGCAATACACACACACATAAAATAAAAATAATAAATAAAATATAAAAAAAGAATGTGAAATAATCATAGTTGCATCAACTTGAGTATTAAAAAACAGAAAATAAAATATGGGGGCTGGAGAGATGGCTCAACAGTTAAGAGCACTGACTGCACTTGCAGAGCACCTGGATTTGATTCCTAACACCCACATGGCAGCTAACAACCATCCATATCTCCAGTTCCAAAGGATCTGACACCCTCTTCTGACCTCCGAGGACACTGAACAACACAGGCGCACTTACTTACATGCAGACAATACACTCATACACATAAAATAAAAATAATGAAGTAATTTTTAAAAAAGAAAATATGGGCTCTAGCTTTGACTCTTAAAAGTGTCTCTTGCTTCTGTAAATTAAAATGATTAATTCAAGGTGACTCTCAGTGTTTGATTGTTTTTCTTCAGCTCAATGGAGCACAAACATACTGCTATGGGTAGTTTGTAGA